TTCCTATGCTGTGTGAAGTTATTAAGCACTTGGGGATTGGAAGAACACTCAACTAGAAGTGCCGAGAATACGCGTCGTGCTTCTCCTAACACTTCTTTCGTGTTAAAAGTCCCCGCGTGCTTTATAACTGCACACAGCACGCGCGCGCTATTCCTTCAATAGTAATGTCTGTTGCCGTTGAGAAAAACTAGTATTTCCAAAAATGCTTCGCCCCTAAAGAGAGATAGTAAGATAATAAAGAATACTTACTTGTCATACATGGCATTCTGCAGGTCCTCTGGGTTCAGACTTTCAGCCAGCTTCATCGCCAAATCTGGAGAACATTCTATATCTTCTTCACTCTCTGAYGGTGGAGTGCTTAGAGGTGTGACAAACGAATCATCTACTGACACGCAAAAATAAAAGCATTTCACAAAAGGACAATATTACAATGAGTAACTAAGTCTCTCTCAGATTTCAGATATCTGAAATCMGAAATCTGAGACCGATTGGAATTGTGGGGGACCGAGTGTTTTCTCGTTAAAAATTCGATATACACTTACCCAGATAGTTTGCCAGCGCAGGTCACCGCTCAAAGTTAGTATATCAAGATATTAACTTTTTGCGAACTACTAATTAAAACCACAAACAAWTTACAGCTTACAACCCACAATTCCTTTCGGTCACAGATGTCAGATCTACGAYCGACGTTTTCTGAAATAGGTGTATACGCCGCTGCCGCACAGGTGTACAGTATATGCACTTGCTGCAAAACACACATTCAATCTTTAAATCCCAAAATTCCTTGCGATCCTTAGACTGAAGTAAAAACGAGTCCAAAAACTTAGGCTCGGGTMWAACGTCGAACTTCACATGAGCCGGACCTAATTGAAACAATAGATAACAAGGCGATCTTCTTGGATGTCATTAGGTTGGRCTTATGTGAAGTTCGACGTTTGAAAAGAGCCAAAGTTCTTCTATCTGTGGTTTATTGTTTACTGTACCTTCTTGATCATTGTCTGCACATTCTGATACTCTCTTCTCTCTTTGGATTGCTACAGCATTCTTGAAACTCAGGTGACCAAAATCAACAATAACCTAGCCATGATGAAAGGTAGATAAAATATTGTCAGTGAACAACTCCACTCTTAAACTAAATCAACTTTGTTTATAGAGGATGGCACCTACAGTACTTAAACTGATAAACTCGTGGTCCTCCTGTAACGTCTCAAGTCWATTAGGGAAGGGACCACCATTAACGTGGTCATCCGAGCCAAGCGAAGGTCTAACCGTTAACAGGTCTAATTACAAAGGCAGAACCTTCTCCTCAGTTATTTTAAGACCCTGAGTGTTGGTCCGGCAGAGGCTTGAACCACGACCCCACACAACAGACCGATGCTCACAGCCAATGAGCTAACAAGCAGTTCCAAAGAATATCCTCATCTTTCTCAAAATTGAAATTGGACTTTCTAAAAGGTGCAGGCAGATAGTCTTTCAAGGTACTACAAGGGACCGCTTTATATTTGGGTGCAAAAACATTCTGTTAAACTTAAAGTACTAGCCTCGGGTGGCATATGTTCAAATGCTTTTGCTCGTGTCTCTTGTGAAAGACAGGCCTTACTTACAACAGATGCTTTCCTGTTTTTGAAGTTTTCAGGTACAAATATTCTTGGTGCATAGATCTCCAGCTGAATGTCCCACCTTTTAAAATGATTCTGAAAGAAGATACAAGGAAATTATGAGCAAAAAATAATGAAGTAAAGCGTCAACTGATGAAACATTTTTGAACATTTAGTTGTAATCAGAACAAATTTTTTTTTTCAATCATACTGATGACAAACAAGTTCCTATTTGAGCCCTGTAACCATAGTTAATAGAGGGGAATGGTTAGGAAACCTATTGTTATCAGGTCTTTGTTCGCTTTTGATGTTGAACCGGTCTTGACGGTGCACAATTTTTGATTTATGCTCATCTGAAATTGCAAAATAAGTAAACATAAACTTTGTCTATGGGATTGTTGTAAGGAATATTCAAATATCTCTTATAAATCTTTAAGTCTTTTGAACTAGATGCCAAAAGCAAGATTTTTGTCTGTTCACTCAGCCATTGCCAACAATGGTAAAACAATGGTAAAACAAAGGATTGTGCACGGTCACGCTTGAAAAAAGTGAACAAAGACCTATAACAATAGAGTTTCCTAACCATTCCCCTCCATTAACTATGCTGTAACATTACATATTATTGTCAATCAAATAAAAATGAAAAAGTGAGTGAAACATTTTACACAATAAATAACAACAAATAATAAATAAATAAATAAATATAAACAGTAGTGTACAAAATTTTAAAACTATTTAGCAATAAAATTCATTCTTAATATAACTAGTATGAATAATTATTTTTTTTAAAAAGTGATAAATAAGTGAACAAAAAAACATAGTTGAGAAGAAAAATGCTGAGAATTCAGTATAAATTGCTGAACAGATTTAAATATTATACTTACTACTATTATAAGTCTTATTTATAGAAATACCAACCATTTAAAATAATGTTTACTTAACTTTTTCTTTTCTTATCAGAAAATTAACTCCAACTTCTAAAAAACATAATTATAACAAAGCATTACCATTTCTACACCTTCCAACATTGAATCCAAGGTGTGTTGCAGCTCAGCCTTGGTTTGATTCTTGAGCTCCTCATATCTCAGCCAAGCAGCTTCTTTTAACTGTCTTTCTACATTCATGTACTGGACATTTAATGAGTCATTGGAAAAGAAGTCAGTTATGCACTCAATAACCAGAGGATTGTACGTGATGTCTAGAGGTTCAGTTGTCAGGGAGAAACTAAACAAAAAAGAAAAAGAAAAAATGTTAACACAACTGGATTTATCAGCTGAACAAATCTCACAAATCACTGCTCATTACGGTAGCACTTAACAGCATGTGGCCCTCATTCCTAGATCAAAGTGGAAGTAAGGAGTTGATTTTTGAGGAGAGAGGAAAGCCGGAGGAAAACCCTCTAAGCAAAGGAACCAACTAGAAACTTTACTCACATACGACACCGAGGTCTGTGGGACTCAAACCTGGGTCGCATTGATGATAGGCTTTGAAGTGCTCTTACTGATATATGTGCCACCCCTGCTTCCCAAAACATCAATCAAATGAATTGTGTTACATCAAGCAATTTTTTCTTGAAATTGTTTTCTGAGCTCCAATGGTGAGAAGTAATAGAAGTAGTGATAAAGAAAGAAGTTATGTGAATGGGATTTGATACTCTAACTGGTTTCCTCTAACCAATGAGCTACTGGGAACTCTTTTCAGACTCAATAATGACGAATCAGAATCTGCTTCTGTTTTGGAATAACAAGCCACTGGTAAATGTCATCCCTTATTTTGATTTATTATTTTTATAAAACTTTCATTTGTCAATGTCTAAAAGGTTTTCCTAATCATCATCATCATCATCATCATCTATTGCTCTTGTGGGTCAACCACATAGCAACATGAACATTACTTTTGTCTAGTGTCCTCTATCCTTTTTCTAGGGCTTGCTGTATGTTTAGGGGGGGGGGGGGGAGACCACTAAAACCATAACAATGTCCAAGAGTCAAAGGGTTTAAAATATATAACAAAGAATTCAAACATACATTGTCAATAAACAAAGACATACTTATAAGTGAGCTTGCTGTTAGGAGGAAGCTGTTCAAATTTCACTTCAAAAACAGGGGGTTCACTGAACTCTTGGATCATATTGAGTCCCAAGCTGGTTGCTGACATGGCTAGTGCACCTACAGATGCTTTGGTTGATGGAGCTGGAGACTTTACAGCTTTAAATTTCTGAAAGGATACAGGATACAATTACCACTTATCAGATATTGATGAGTCTTAAAACTCCAGTCATTTGCGCTTAGTATCACTTCTGAGGTCGGTATAAACGGTCAAGCAAATTGAAATAGGGCAAATCAAGCAAATCCTGGATTTGAGGCTAAGCCTACACACTCCTGGCAGTTTTAAGAGTTGTCAATTAACAGAAAATTAAAAAATATATATTGGGTTGAGTTTAAATCATCAATGCTAAGACTGAGGAGTATTCGAAGTAGTTTTAAAATATTCTGGGGATTTGGAGAGTGTTTCCATACAGAAACAGTTCACAGAAACATGCTTGCAAGAAGAGTGATGATGAATGATGAAATGCTTTGTTTGGTAACTTGAATGAATGTTGGAGAGCTGCAAAACTGAAAATTAACAGTACAGTCTAGGCATAACTTTAACCTTATTTTACTGTTTAATAGAACACCCTACAGACTTAGCTTAATATGATTGAACCTTTTCAGTCCAATGTTCTTTTCCAATTTGGTGTATTTCATGAGTTGCGTGAAATGTCAGCCTGTGTTAACTGAGATAATCATCCTTGGATGTCCCCTTAAAAAATTATTAGAGATCTTTGGATCAGACAACGAGTATGAAAACGAGTACAAGTTTTAAACTTTATTTAAAGATTGGCACTATCATTTCATAGTCATGGTTGTGTCAAAGATTTAAACTTTCTAAGATGGTAAAAAATTGGAAAATTCAGTGATTCGGTGTTACGTGTACCATGTGCACAGGACAATTTAAAAACTCATGCTCATTCTGGTACTCATCGTCAGATCTAAAGGTCACTATGCTATGCTATGAGGGATTTATCATTGAAACTGGGATATTTTTTGTGTGTTTGTTGTTTTTGTTTGTTTGTTTGTTTGTTTATTTGTTTATTTGTTTAATATTTTTTGCTTTTTTTGTTTTTTTTTTCTTTATTATCTATCATTTTTCAATCACTTACCTTGACTTGCGGGGACACTAAAGCAGGAAACAGAGTTCCTTCATTGACTTTATCTCTAACATGAATAGCACCAAGACTCATCTTGAACTCCCATGTACTGGATTGTGGCCTCACCTCAGATTCCCACTGTGCATTGTTAAACTCTAGTTCTATAATTGGTGTCACCTTGGCCGGGCATCCATTTGTATCCCTTCCTTTTAAGAGCTTGAAGCAGCCACTGTCGAGGTGAATATTAAGGTGTGCAAACACTTTGTCTCTGTTAAAGATGGACTGATTGCTAAGAGGATCTGGACGACTACTTAACTCGTCAAGAAATTCTTCTTCCTCTGAAAAACAATACATTTAAAAAGTACTTAATATTAAATCTTTTCTAAGATGTGTTTGGTTGATGTACGTTCACAGATGCTTCTACCAAAAAAATTCATATATAACTTTCATCAAACTCTCTTAACATGGTTCATCCCAAAGAATGCTTTTGTTCTTGGGGTTAATGTCTTAATAAATATTTCAATGTCGAAAGTAGAATTATAAATACTTACTAAATAATAAATTATAAAAACTTAATAAATAAAATGCTAAATGTGTGGGGCAATCTACAGCAGTCATGCTAAAGCCTGTGACTGCAGTAGAGCGTAATGACTTTTAACAATCATTTAAGGTGTCCATGACCCTTCTGACATCATTGTATTCTTAGTATCGATTGTACATGGGGTAAGCTGTTGATTGACCAGAAAAAAATTCATAATTTGAGACCAGCTTCTTGAAAACTTTAAGGTTAATTTTTCCATGCCATACGCCACCTTTAAATGACTGTGGGGATTTGTATGGAATATGCATTGGATGACAAGAGCTTGCCAGCCAAGTCCTTAGAAACAAAACAGTACCAACCTTTTGTGCTTGGAGGACTCATAACAAGTGGTGGTGGTGGTGGTGGTGGTGCTGCACCATCTGTGGTTGTGGTAGCGGCAGTTGTTGCAGAGTTTGTGCCTTGCCAGTACCATGAATACCAGCCTGAGATCCAGCCTTGTGATTGCGCCAGGGCCACAGCTGGCGTGGACTGCTGTTCAGTAGTAGAGTTACTCTCAAGAGATGTCTCCTTAAGATGAGCACCAAAATTACGTTAATTTGTAGTAAATGCAATCACAAAACTTGAAAAATCAAAAAAGGTGGGGTTTGGTGCCTAAAGCAATGACTGAGCCAGAGGTGGTTAGCAAGACCAGCAACTACAGCTGTCAAACTTATCTTTTGTAGCTCCCAGAGTTAGAACTGAAGTTAGCAAATACATCTGCTTAGTATAATACTTATGACAGGTTTCCAATTGCATGCATTAATTATTCTCCAAGTTAACTTAATTTATACATAACCATATCTGTTGAAATGTTATGATAAATTGATGATGGTTGTAACACCAATTATTCCAATCATCAAGTATCAATACAATGACATATATAATTTTAGCCTCCTAACAAGGAAAGTATAAAAAACAAATAGACCATAAGATTTTCTAATTTAGTCAAATACTGCTGTTCCTTGATCACAGACTCACTTATACAGGGTTAGCATGATTTCAGTGTCCAAATATTCACAAATACCAACAGTAAAGTAAAGAACGCACAGCTTCAACCAAACAAACTCAAATTGCAAACAAACTTAAATTGAAATTCCATGCACCTTCACTGGAAATGAATAATCAAAATAATCCCATACAAAATCGAGAATACCCTGTAGAACAGAGAATTTAGAACCAAGTATTTAATTGGAAATAAATTTATGTGTAGTTATTGTTTTAACTGAGTCCTAATCCTTACCTTCTGAAGTTCAATCTCCTTCTCAGCCTTGTCCATTGCAATTCGTCTTAGAACCACAAGTTCTTCAAATGTTAGTTCATGTTCTATTCTATCCATGGCTTCCTGTTCGTCAGTGTATGACAATGACAATGAATAATGTCATGAAATAATTAGACAGAAAGCCTTGGTGTCCATTCTCAGAACCACAAGTTCTTCAAATGTTAGTTCATGTTCTATTCTATCCATGGCTTCCTGTTGGTCAGTGTATGACAATGACAATGAATAATGTCATGAAATAACTAGACGGAAAGCCTTGGTGTCCAGTTTTGTTCATTAATGGTTCAGTAGTTTAAGCAAGATAATTTTTGCTCTTTATAAGGAGCATTCTACAATCCCTGGTCCTTAATGAAAACCCTGACTTCAATGGATGTACAGTGTATTGTAAGGGTGGTACAGCACTACTGTTCTCTCATTCTTTCATCATCAGAGTTCATAGAATGGATTCTAAGATTTGGAATAAAGCTGTAAGTGTGAATGGTGTTTCTACAGTACGTATATGACTAACATCATTTGACAGTCAGCTCTCACTGGACGTATTGTAAGGGTTTTGCAACAGTAGTGTACATCCTTCCATCATAAAGTTTATGGAATTGATTCTCAGATTTGCCATAAGTGTGCAAAAGTGTATGACCTGTGTATACAGCTATTTCAAAAATGCTTGAATAATGAATACTGCACCCTGAATACTGAATAGTGCATTCCAAGCCCAAAGTGCATTGTGGGTCTCGTTAATTTTAAATAAAAAGTATATATACAGCAATTAACTCTCTACATGTAGTTTATAGTATTTCGTTATATGGAATAAACTAAAAATAGAATAAATAATTATTATTATTCCTACTTTAGGCAATATCACTATGACCCACAATGCACTTTTGTCTTGGTTGCACTACTCAGATGTATTCATTTACCTTCATGTCGTTATCGAGAACTGCTTTAGTCAGGTGCATAGTATAGGCTTTAACATAGATAACTATATCATGTACACGACCTATTGCGAAGGACAAGGAATGACGTCTGTTTCTTTCTTGGATGAAGTGAAGAATACAGGTAATAGAAAACTGCCACCAGAGTTTTGCACTGCAAATATTATAAAACACACATAAGTGTTGTCTTCTGTACAGTGCAGCTACTATTACCCAGGGCTACCTGGACAGCAAGAACCAATTAAATTGTAGAATGAAAGCAATACAGTCCGACTTTGGGTAGTGGGACCAATCAGAAAGCAGCAGACAACAATAGCCTTTCAACACATCTTTTTTTCCCATGAGAAAAATGACAATGGCTATCTAGTTGTTTACACGTATCATCAGGGTCAAATTAACCTTCTCATGCAGTGCAGACTAGGTTTCATATTAACTTGACTACCAAAAGTTGGTCAAAGTGGCCCATGTTACAGTAGAACTGCACCATGCAAGAAGGTCAAGGGTGGAATAATGCAGGAATGGTGGAGCACTTGTGTGTATGAGGAGGGGGGGGGAGAAACTAGAATCCTTCATTTTCATTCAGAACTTAAGACAACAAAAAATTAATTGACCGGTAAAAAGTGGGGGTCTAAAGCCACCCCAGCTCCACCCTCCCTGTAAAGGTACTAGTCTTCTTGCCTCTCAACTCTGGGGTCTCAAGATCAATATCTTGATTTCTGGACTGGAACATCACATATTATTAAGTAGAGTTTATTGAATCTCTCTTAACCTGTTGGGTATTTTGGATGAATAGAAAACTGAAAATCTGGGGTAAAAAACTCAATTCAAGAGATACCCAACAAACTGTACTCACATGCATGTGATGCAAGTCTAGGAATCAAACCTGAGAGCCCAGATGTGAGAAACAAGTGCCCTACTGATAGCTACACAACCCTTCTCTATTTGATCTCACTCCAGGTTGCATGCTTCCTGGAAGAAGTTCCACATGGATCATTTACTGATGACATCCTATATGGCCTGACAAGCGGTCTCAAAATTTGACCAAGGATTTCAGATAACATTTTGAATCAACAATTATAGCCAACATTTGACCCAACATCTGACCCAACATCTGACCCAACATCTGACCCAACACCTGAACCAACATTTGACCTAACATTTGATATATTATTTGACCTACATGTACCATTTGACCCAACATTAATTTTAACTTAACACTGTTGGCAAACTATGGTAAATGGTCCCAACTGGCCAACAAATGTTGGCTGAATGTTAGGTCAAATGTTGGGACCATTTGTCAGGGCTTTATAATCAACCCAAACTTCAAAGGGAGACAGCAAAAAAATTCACTTACTTCTCTTTGATAGGAACAGTGGGCCTCCACTTCTTGTATCTTGACTGTCTAAAACATCTCTGGAATTCCCCAACAAGTTTCATCATTTTTCTATACTGAAACTCAGCCAATGAAAAAGGAATGCTCTCCACATGAAAGTTGACAACAAACCGAGGTTTTTTGTCCTTCAACGGCAAAGCACTAGCATTCCTTTTGACTTTAGCTTGTGCACTTATTGGCTCTAGGATGTACTGGTGTTTCTGAAATAAGAATATGGGATGGTATACAGCAAATCAAAAAAAATTCATAGCAGACACTAAGATCAAAGTGTGTTCTGGGGGAAAAGTTTATGAGGCTCATACTATGCATATTGCAGTTTTGCAGCTCTGGAATATTGATTCCAGTTAACGAACAAAGCATTTTGTCACTGTTTGTGCATGTTAGCCCTGTCTGTAATAAGGATTTTGACTACCAAACACCTGTTCATCTCAGCTTATATGATTAAAACTTTTAAATCAGACAACATTTTTAACTTTGTGTAGAAAGGTTTTTAGTTTGGGGGTAATGTTTCCCATTTTGCCAATCCTGAGCCTGCTATTTAAGAAATGCACATATGGTACTCTAGCAATAGGTTTACCTGTTGTCATGCAGTACTTACATTGAATCCAGCTGAGCCTTCAGAACGGTTGATCATTCTCTGTAGTGCATTCTGGAAAAAAATCATTATCTAATAATTTAATACCCAACATGGATTCAGAGTCAGTGCTTGAAACTAAAGGCTAATAATTCTTTCACAATGACTTTTTGAATAACAGCATCTTGGTCCTACAAAAATATACTAAAAATATACTCAGCATTTCTGAAGATGAYGCTCAAAACTTTTACATGTAACAAACTTTTACTTTTGCATATACATATATACATATTTATAGTACACTCAACAAAATTACTCGACTCTGATTGGTCAAGAGGAGTACAATTATAGCGTTAATTGTACTCCTTAGGAGTACTGAATTAAGTCGCTATGGCAACACGGCCAAAATAATGTCAAAACAATTATTTTCTATCATTTTGTACTTAAAAAACATATTATATCTAATCTTTTTTATGCATTTCAGTTGGGCGATGGACTGAAAATCGGCCGCCAAATAGACAAAGAGGAACAGCGTCGCTTTGCATTTTTTACTGATATTTTGTTGAGTGAACTATAAACAAAAAATCGCACGATCTTCTCGTACAATTTGGAATTAATAGACACTCGTAATGTTTTGAAAGTTCTTTAATAGAACTCGCCTTTTCCTATACTAATAATTTTCTTTTTTTTGAAAACAAATCTTATCGGTAAATTATTATGACATACTAACAACTGTTTTTGTATACTTGGAGAAAACAAACCTACATGTATTTATTTTCTAGCTTAAATTCTCACTTAAATTCTTCTAAAATTCATTGGCACAGACATTTTTCTCTAGTGTCACACATACCTTTAAATCACTGGATGGAAGATCACCAACAAGAGTGACATCTTGGTCCCAATACACAGCCAAGTTCTGCAGGTCCATCAACTTATATTTAATTGTTCTTTCGTTTTGAATTATTTCTTCAGTATCCTGAGAATCAAAAATAAATTTACAATTTTTAAAACTTAAATAAACCTTGAGAAATAAAAACTGTTACCTTAAAAATAAAGAAAAAGAAAAAAAATTTTTTTCTATGCACAAGAGCAGATTATATATGTTTTTTAAAGGCTCAAGCTACCCGGGGTGTGCCATGTGTGTCAGTGTGAATATTTATTTATGTTTACTACTGTAAGCAATTCATGGTTTCACTTTATCAGTAAAATTTGAACTTTTGTGAAGGTTCAAGCATTTTTATTTCATGACAAAAGCTGTTTCCTTGTTGACTTTAATTATATTTCAATAAATCAATTAATTTCTTACTAAAAGGAGGAGTCACCCTCCCTTCCTCTCCCCTCCCACACACACACAAACACATACACTGTAAGAAAGCATACAGCTGTACCTTCCCTTAGCTAATTTTGTTATGTCTCAACTTACCCAGTTTTCATTTGTAGACTGAGCAGAGAGTTTTTCAATGGTTATTCCAAAAGCAAATGGGAACTGTTTATCCAATGAGGCATCTTCATATCGAATGTGTACATCAGTAACACAAAGCTGATTCAGAAAAAAAAATTAAAAGACAGGATAATTGTAATGATACCCCTTGGAAACCATGCCTTGTTTGTTCACTATATTGACTATAAACTTTTAACTATATTTTTTGTTTAGAAAGTGTCAGCTGCACTAACAGCTGGGTAACAAGTGCATTGTCGATAGATTAACAATTGGATGTTGGCAGACCACAGCAGACAGATGGTCAAAAGAAAATCTGAGGTGCTATATATTTTAGCATTTTTTAATTACTGGCCCATAATTGTTCAACCTTTGGAACATAAAATTAATTTAAATACCTGTAGATTTTCAACAATTGTTGTGGAGAATGATGAATACAAAGATGGCCACCAGGAACCATACCAGAACCCTCCTGCCTGATCTTTCTGTTGAGATTCCTGTAAAAAACAAACATCAACTTATTACCCATGGTATGATGTCTGTCTGTCTGAGGTACTGTAGGGTGGTTAGGCAGTGACACATCAGTAAAAATAAAACATTTGCCTTTCGCCATGTACATGTAACTGACAGTTGAGTCTTATAGACCCTTTAATAAATCCCACAATGCCTAATATTCTGTTTTTGGCATCAAATTTTTTTCCGTTCTAATTTGTTTTGAAAAGAATAAATTTGACGTGAAAAGAATATACTTGACATCAAATGTTGAAACAAATATTAAATGCAGTAATAAAAATAATATCTTTAACAGATGATAAGAGAGATACAGTATTGTATATAGGAGGTGTAGTAGTTTATTGCTCGCCTCTCACTGCTATGGTCCGTGTTCGAGCCCCGGCACAGACTGRATCAGATGTGAGTTGAGTTTGTTTGATGTGTTGTTCTCTCACTTCCCACAAGGGTTTTCTCCAGGTTCTCCAGTTTCCTCCCTCCGTAAAAATCAACATATTGTGAGTTTAGTGTTGTATGTTGTAAATATAGAATGTAGTGATAGTGCGTGTGGAGGGAACCCCACGGATGAGTCCTGTGAGTGGTGGTTGTAAAACATGTTTTATTGTAGAGAGTTTCTTTACCTGCCATTGTGCTTCAAAGGCATCAAGTTGTCTCTTTTTCCTAGTCCACTGGGCTTGTTTTTCCTCCTCTTCATTGTACTGTTGTTGAAGGGAAAAAAATGTTCACTCATTGGCTTATCCATTTGAGCTGAGAGAAGTGAAATCACTTGGAATGATTCCGAGGGGGAAAATGACTCTGAGAAGGGGAAAATGACTCTGAGAAGGGGAAAATGACTCTGAGAAGGGGAAAATGACTCTGAGAAGGGGAAAATGACTCTAAGAAGGGGAAAATGACTCTAAGAAGGCAACAATTGCCTGTATTTTCTTGGGACAAATCACATTTTTAAATCATGATTTTTTTTATCTGCCTCTACATAATCAAGAGTTAGTAATATTACTATGACCTCTGGTTTCAAACTACTAAAAAAAATTTTTCTGTACGTTTATTTTATTTTATCAAATTTCCAGTTGTTTACATGTAACTATGAAAACTACTGTACTATAATATTATGATTCCTTCCATCTTAGACACATGTAAATCTTACTCACTTGGGTTTTAAGGGTGTAAGAGCTGGTTTAACCTCCAAGGTTGTTCTCTTGCACCCCCCCCCCCCCCCCCCCCCCCTTCATAACTTATTCAATTTATCTATGTATACATGTATGTTTTGGGAAAATAAAAACTTTTGTAACTGTTGTTGTTGTTATTGTTGACTGTTTGGTACTGTACCCCTTAGAGGGATTGGCTAAATATATACCTTTTTTAGTTGTTGGGGACCAGCAACAAGATACAGTTTATTAATATGTATAATCCATGGTTCTGACTTGGGACGGCGTAAAGGAATTGAAAGTTGCAAGTGACCAATGAAACCTGATTTGACTTCAAGAGGAAGGTCAAGGCCTCTGAGGGCTGTCTTCTTGAGGGGAAGATTGTGCAAGTCAACGGTACCTACATGTAAAAAGGAGAAAACAGCACACATTTTACATATACAGTAATATACAATAACCATCTTAAAGTGCAAATGAACCCTT